ACTATCCGGAAATGCAGCAGAAGTTGAGACAAGAGATTGAGTCCCAAATCGGAGACCGAATGCCAACACATGAGGACAGGAATCGATGCCATTATGTCATGGCTTTCATCGCTGAGACACTGAGATTTAGAAATATCGTACCCCAGGGTTTGCCCCATAAAGCTGTTGTCAGGAGTACTATCGGTAAGAAATAGATAAATATTTTACAAATAATATTTAAAAATAAAAACTAAAATATAATTTATTGACTTGTTTTTAGGTGATTACACAATTCCTGAGAAAATGGGAATTGTTGTATACCAGGGAATTATATGCCGTAATGACAAGGATTGGCAAAATGCAGAAATATTCAAACCCGAGAGGTTTTTGGACAGTGAGGGACAGTATTTGGTTACCAGACCTCAAGCCTACATACCCTTCGGTGTGGGCCGTCGTGTCTGTGCGGGAGAAAAGTTAGCCATCGCTGACCTGTTTCTGGTTTTGGTCCGATTCCTTCAGTCCACACAAGACTATGAGTTAGTTCTCGACAGCCATAACGGCATTGACGTCGATCCTAATAAATCTGATGCTTATAATCCATGTGATTATAAAATAGTATTAAAACAAAAGTAGTTAATAATAATAATTAATCACTATGTAATTCAATCAATAAATTAAATACAATTTTGAATACAAAATTAATGATATGCAGATTTATGTTTATTCAAAAATATAAAATATTAATATTAAACATTTATTACAAAACCTGTAATGTTTATATTGTTTGAATAAACTATAAGGAACAAATAATATATTAATTTTATTACTTTTATAGTATTGAGTCTAAATAATATTACTTGGTCAATGTTTAATAGTGTACAGTATATTAATTTTTAATTAAATATTAAATGTTTTAATAGTGTATTTTATAAATATAAAAACAAATAAATTAAAATAGAGAAAAGAAGTAGTAATTAATAAAAAAAACTACCAGATTATATAAAAACTTATTTAAAATATATCATTAATTATTAGTCAATCTCATGATTATAATTTATAATTAATGAAGTTAAAAATGTTTTGAATTATTCCACCATGCATAGTTTTACGCCAAATAAACCTTTATTAACAATAAAATACTAAAAACACAATAAATATAAATAAAAATAATACAAAAAATTAAAATCTTTCCACAAAATCAAATAAATTACAAGATTTTTTTATCGATATAAACAATAAAATCAATCAAAAAATGTGTTACCTTATAGCTAAACGCATTGACGGCACCGACACGTGTAGGCATAGGGAAAATGTATATAAACCAAATCAATTCACACTTAAAATCAATTCAATTACAAAACTAATTGTAATTAAAAATAATCAAAAGTTATTTTGAAACAAAAAACTTTCACTCAAAAACAATGAAGTTGTTTATCACCGCAACATTGATGGCAGTGGCGGCCGCACAACAGGCCTCGGTCTCCGTCCCGGCGCCCAATCCTATTAGCGGTTTGTTCGGCGGTTTCACTGGCCTATTGAGCAACGGTTTAAATACCGTTGAAAATATGGCCCAACAGGGGATCAACGCAGGGATGGGAGCACTCAAAGGGGTCGAGACGGTTGGCCAGAACGCGCTCAACGCTGGCCTCAACGCCGGCACAGGTCTGGCGAGCGCTGGTATGAATACTGTGGGACAAGTGGCCACTTTGGCCCAGGATATGGGTCAAGAGGCTGTCAAAGATGTGACCGGACTCGCCGGCAGTGCCGCTAATATTGGAAAGGGTGTTGTGGGCGATGTGATGGGTGCCGTCACCCCATTGGCCGGCGTCGCCACCGACGCTGTCAACCAGGTTCAAAACATACCCAAACAGGCCATCGCCGCCGGCACTGGTCTCTTGAACACCGCTCAAGGAGTTGGCAAACAGGTTATGGGCACCGTTGCCAACACTGTCGGTCAACTGCCCGGCGCTATCAATGGTGTAGTCGGACAGGTGGAGAGCACCGCCCAGAACGCCGTGAAAACCGCTACAGGAGCTGTTGCCCCTGTTTTGGGACAGACCCAAAATGCAGCTACCGGTGCCCTTAATGGCGCGACCGGCGCTCTCGGTAATGTTGCCGGACAGGTGCAGTCTACAGTTGGTGGTGCCGTTGACACGGCTACCGGTGTTGCCAGCGATGCTGTGGCACAGGTCCACAATACTCTCGGCTCAGTGACCGGCGCTCTGCCCACTGGAAGCGCTTCCATCAATGTTTAAACACCTAAAACTGATCACCGTATTAATAGATGGTAAATATATTTTGCCTCTTTATGTCAAATTATATTCAATGTAATAAAATTGTAAAATAAAATTATGATTATTATTTAAAATTGGTGTAAAAATTTCTTAATCTATTATGTTTCAACCAATTATAGAACTAGCATAGAATTAAGCAAAAAAACTGATTATTATAATAAATTACTCTACAGTATGTGTTTTGTTGTTATAAAACTTATTTTCAATAGCAGCACTTAAGGAATTTAGTAATTTTAAATTAGTATAATTGTATTCCAAAAGTATATTTGAGAATTATTGAAATCCTATATCAAATTGGTAAAATTATATTTAATCCTTGTTCAAATGTGCAGAACATTTATATACTTTATAACATTATTAATAAGTTAAATACCCTAGTCTTATAAACCTTGATATAAATTAATTTATATTTAAAATGAAAATTT